AGGTTGTGTTTTTATCGCAAGAGTTTCAATATACTCACGCGGATAGACTGAATATTGTTTGTTTTTGAGTTGGTTCTCTTCGACATCCTCGCAGGAGTGTGACTACCAGCGAGAAAGAAATTGTCAGGCCCAGTGCAAAACTCAACGTTCCACCTCCAAACTGTTTAGGGGAGGAGGACCACACTGTGTCTAATATCACCGGTGACAGGATTGCTGTTGGTGATGCCAAAGGATGTCAGCTTCCCGAGTAGCACTTCAGAAAAGTTCAAGATGCCAAGGCACACGTGAACCCTCGAAAAAATTGGCATCATTTAGTCCCCAGGGACCGAAGTAGGATTTTGTTGAGTTCTATGAAGAGATTTGCAAACGCTTTTGAAGTGTGAGGTTCCGACCTCTGGCAACAAGAGGCGGAACTCAACGCCCCGGTTTCTCCAGCGTTTGGACGGCAGAGTGCGTCCCAGATATAGAGGTAAGTGAGCAGTCACACGAATTTGGCAGAGAAGAGAACGCTGATGTACCATCTGTCAAGGAGATGATCGTGGAGATTTACTTTACTTTTGGACACTACTTGAAACGAGCCTCCTTCTAATGTACTGTCTTCAAGTTAAATTATGATGTAGATTCATTGTGCAAGTGCGTGTGAACAGGTCTGCACTGAACGTTGTAGGAATATGGCGCGAAAAACATTTTATTGTATAGCCTTGCCATTCACTCCACTCACTCGCTCCACTCCACTCATTCACTCCACTCCACTCACTCACATGTTCAACGAATTTGTCTCGCCGGGCTTTGGATTGGCAGTGCTTGGGCAACTGGTGATGTGGTGGTGTCACGGATGAAGCAGTGAAGTGGTTTCCCAAACGGTTCCTTGTTTGTCATCGCCTTGCACAGGCCAGCAGCCTTGTTTTTGTTTTCGTTCGTCACGGTTGGCCACAGTCGGCGGTCAGGAGCGAGGCGAAGAGACTTTTCTGCGAAAACTGTCCGAACTTCGGCGCCTTGGAGTGCGAAAACTGAGTGCCTTAGGAAAGGGCATCGCTACTAGTAGTTCCTGGCATTGTTAGTGCCAAGAAACTACTAGGAACAAAGGGCATCGCTATTAGGAGCAAGATAACGCACATTCCTTCGCCTTGAGGCCGGGTGCCCTGTGCCCTGGAGTCACCAGGTGTTTTAAAAGAGTACTCGCCTCCTGCCTCATGCTTGTGATTGTTCCGGCCATGCTCTGCGTTGCTTGCGCTTTTAGGTTTATTGAAGAGTTTGATAGGCTACTTCTGGTTGTAGGGTTTTCTCGCTCCAGCCGCCTGTGGCTGTCTTCGGGTGTGGTGGGTTGCTTGGGTCGCCGCTTTTGTGGTTAGGCATCTGGCCCAAAGAAGCTCCTTGGGTCTCGCTCTGCAATTCGACGAGGTTGAGTTGCTCGATTTTCTATACGAGTTTTCTTTTTCGCGCGCCAGAGGTGGGTTGGGCGAGTTCGCGTCCTGAAAGGTTTGCGTGACACTTGGCCTTGTTAAATGCTAGCCGCGTCTCATATGGTCTCTAAGACTAGGGTGGGAAGCGTGGAAAGCGGCGTGCAATGATTGTTGAACCTGTTGGAGCAAGCTTGTGTTTAATGCACAGCAGTCGCCTTTATTTTTCTCGCAGGCTCACAGGCAAAGCAGGCGCGCAAGCTGCTGCAACTGCAAGATAAACCCACAGGGTTGCGCATTAATAGGATATCTGAACATCGTCCTTCCCGTCCTCTCATGTGTTCTTACATCGCGACATACTTTGTATCGCGGCAGCTCCTAAACCTATATGAATTGCTGCTGGGGAGCAATCTGTTGGTAGAGTGTAGGCACGAGCATGTATGCAACTGTGGCGAATGAACACAATCAAAGAACACAAAAACACTCTTGAGGCTGAAAGTAACACCAACCAAAGAGCTGCGCCCTCCAGCGGTACACTGCGACCCATCTGTCAAAACTCCAAGATCTTCTCCTTCCAAGTCTGAAGGACGCTAGTAGCGACAAGCCAATAGCAAACACCCAACCTTGCAACGCAGACCCATAGATCCAAATTTGGCAAGAAGGCGTGAGCAGGTCATGTCGTAATGCCGCAGTGAAAATTCGGCAAACGCTTTTGATCGGAAGCAGGCCACTCAGCAACTTGTTGTGCAAGGCGCAAGCTTAGAACCATCCTTGACTGATATATCCTGCCAGCGCTGTTGCGTGGTATCGAACACACCTTAGCATCAACTCTCTACATTCGATGAAGTGCAGCTGAGCACCATTGCGCGTGTGTCTTCGCTACCCTGGACGTTATACATGCGCAATATGGATCTGTGTCATCACAAAAACTGGGCTTCGCTCGTGCCCTTGTGCCAACCCTGGCCCAAATGTGTTTGACTTATACTTTGGAAGGCCATCTCGGGTATAAGTCAAGAGCATACTCACACTTGATCGCTCATTCTGGAGCGACTTCGAGTGCGTCGCTCCTAAGAAGAAATGCTTGTACACACAGCCCTGATTGGGGCTCTCTTGGCTTTTTGGAGATATGGATGTCTACCTTGGTGCGTCGGTGCCGCTATCGTTTAGCTTCCTAGCCTGTCTCCGTGATCAGTGCCTGGGACAGCGCTGGCGTCAAGCTGCCTTGCTTTCCCCGTGCCCAGTTGAGCTGCGTGGTATGAGGGTTTCAGGTCGGTGCAGGTCAATTGAAAAAGCGACCGCTAAATGGAAAGAACAGAACAAACACGGCGGGAAGGGAAAGAACGAAGAACGTCAACTGGTGTCTTCAATGCTTTCTTTCATTTGTCATTTTTGACGAGGAATTAAGTGAAGGGCCAGGGTTTCAGTGCTGAGTCGGCGGTGGTGCAGCGGAAGGGACAGAGAAGCAACAGGTGGTACACGTGGAAGAAAGGCGTCAGAACGCAATTTGCGAGATACCCAACCACTTAAGCTAGCAAGCAGAAAATGATTTGTGCAGTGCAGGTGCTTGGTTCTATCCGAGAACCCTATCAAGAGCGCGGATACGCTGGAGGCACGCAGAGATCATGCTGACTGACAAAGAACATGCAGTTTTGGAGTTGATGTCGAACTGAAGTCAGAGGTTGTTCTGTTTTGACTGGCACTTGTCCTTGAGCCTCTGACGTTTGAATGCTTTCTTGACTGCTTGCTTGCATATTTTTCTTTTGTTGTGTTTGCTGGCGACAGTGAGGCGATCCAGCCATATGGACCAAGAGGAGCAGATTTGTTATTGAGATGCACTGCCGCTGCAGCTGAGCTTGGGCAGCGCCGGCCCGAGCTCTTAAAGGAAAAGGAGCGCCAGCATTTCTACGATCTTGTCAGCGACCATTCGAGATCTCTCTTCTAATGCATAAGGTTTGGCAAGATCGTGTTACAGCTTCCAGGAGCGGAAGCCACTCCTGAATCTAGGCCACGCGCCGGCGCCAGGGCCTCATCCCCCCGCGATTCATCGCGGAGGCCTTTGCTCCTAGTAGCGTCCTCTTGTTCCTAGTACAGGGTTTCTTCATCGCACAATTTGATTAAGAGTTCTGTATCGTGCAGGGCAGGGCAAGGGGTGTAGCATTAATACGGCGCCAACTGTGTTGGCGGATATTGCACCCTACACCCTACACCCTACCCCACCCTACCCCACCCTACCCCACCCTACCCCACCTACCTATCCTCCTACCTACTTGCCTACCTACCTACCTGCCTGCTTACCTGCCTACCACACTTCAGTGGGCCCGCCCAGCACTGAACAATGCTTTCCCGACTTAAAAGGCTTGCAGTCTTGGAAAGCCAAGTAAAGCGCTGCGTCTCGAATATTACTCCAACCAGTCGGGATTTCACCAGATTCACCACTGACCACAGTGGAAGCACTTTTGAGGGCTTAAAAGAAGGCGCCTCCTGGGTTTCAAGTTTGAAGTTTTCTAGTTCTGCGCCCAAGCTTTCGTTCTGCCCTCCCGTGAGGTTCTGTCTGGAATTTTGTTGTCGAATTTTGCTTCCAAGAGCTGCAGCTTCGCGATCAAGTTCTTTCACGGGAAGGAAGACCAGACAAAAAGGCTGTCAGCAGCGCGCGGTGCCAGATCCGAAGTGTTGTTGGAACAAACAATTACACGGCGTAGACTCCAGGTACCACCTTGTCTATCAAAGCGCAGGCAGAAGCGGAGAGAAACTTCAGTGGTGTCGAAACTGGGACCTTTCCGCAGCAGCAGCAGCAGCAGCAGCAGCGGTATGTTGCAATGGTAGTTGGTTGGTGGGGAGTGGTAGAGGTTGTGGTACCTCACCCACCTCACCCACTCAACCACTTCACCCACTCACTTGCTCACCCGCTCGGGCATGCTCGCGCGCTCGCGGTAGCCCTACCACATCCCAGACACAACAACGCAGTCCCGCGCCAACGGTGGTGATGATAAACGATGTTTCTGCAGTTGTGACTGGTCATTGCTGTTGCCATTGCGACCGACGGGTGCTACTAGGTCAGATCCCCGGTGGGAAAATAGATTAAGATTGAATTTGCATGGCAACTCGGTTAATAGTATTGTTACGTTGACAACGTGACTGTGATTCGGATATTTTCGGCTCAGGAAGGATTCATCGCCGCCTGAGGGCTGGGTACTGCGCCTTTTTAGTTTGCCTCAGTCTCTGTGCCCAAATTGTTTAAAGGCATATTGCTCTGAAACGTGTCCTTTCCGAACCCCCTTTGAGCAGTCCACAGATTTCACCCTTGATCTTGGTCCAGCCAAAGATCGTAAGTGAGTCTCTCTGGCATGGCGCCGAAGAACGCCAGAAAAAGATCGCAGCGGAAATAGGTCAGTTTAAGTAAAACCTGTGGCAGCAGAAGTTTGTTTAGCGCTCGTAAAACAGGTTTACATATAGGACATCATACGGATGCACTCTGCATGCAGAGATGTGCCTGGTGCGATTTGCGTGCAAGTCATTGCCTGATACTGTTCATCATGGCCACTTCAAGCCGCAGCCTTGGCGCAAGCCTAAAGTGTGTGCGCGTGTCTGTGAAGCCAAAGCATGGGGCATTTTGATCGCTTGCTTCAAAGCTGCAGAAAGTAGAAGAATGCCATCAGCTTGTTTGACCAGTCTTTCAGAGAAAAAAGCTTTTCCATGGCCTCCTGAGGAAGAAGTACAACGGAAAGGATAGGGAGGAGAAGAAAGACAAGAAGGAAACAAAAAAGGAAACAAGAACGGCAGCAGAGCTGGAGGACGATCTTTGTTTTCACATTAATTACACTTTTGTTCCCTAGAGCACCTGTGCGAAGGGTTTTTCTCAAAAAACACGAGAGCTGAATACCATCGCAACATACATCCGCACATATCCAAAGTTGCGTATGCAGGTAGGCTACATATCATCACAACTTACGTTCGACGTCTTGATATCCGCGCAGACGCGCGCTTTCCTTCCTTCCTTCCTTCCTTCCTTCCATCCTTCCTTCCTTCCTTCCTTCCTTCCTTCCTTCCTTGCTTCTTTCTTTTTTTCCAATGCGCGACGTGCCAACGCATGGCTGGTGGCATAAGCGGCTGCGGCAAATGGAGGGGCAAGCGGGAAATCTGTATCCTTTGGCCTCACGGCTTTGTTCGGCCAATGGGAGTGTGAGATGTTGCCAGGCCGTAAAATGGATTCCCTTCGCTCAGAACGAATACGTTGAGCGACCGTCGGCCGTTGACAAAGCTACCCTCAGCCTTGCGACACCAAGTGGCGACAACCATGAATAAGCCAGGTTGGTTGGTGTCCCAATTCGCCTTTCTGACGTTGAGGGAACTTGTCAACCTGACACTGCGGGATGGTAGCGTACTGCTTGTCGATATGTAAACCTGGGGCTTCCACTGGATGTCCCGCGTGGGTGCAAGATCAGATCAACTGCCGTCGCAACGGGCCGGCTGGAAGTCAATATTAGCGCTAAACAAGGTGGTGGGCTGTGTTGATGGGCTTTACTTGAGTATATGGTTTTGGTCCGCAGCTTTGACTTTGATCGTTTGTTTCATGCTTGCCATGAGCATGGTTGAACGTGGATAAACATGAGTGAACTAGCATTGAAACTTCTTCAGTCTCTGCTGCTTGCTACCCACAATGGAGTACCGCGCGGTGGGAGCTGAAACACCCCGTGCGACAGTGTCTTGCTCTGGAAAGTAAAACTTGCAGTTTTGAGCGCGCTGCAAACTTAGCACTGGCTTCTGTGTCCGTTTGCGTGGGTCATTTTGTTGTCTGGTGGGAGTCATGTCAACCAAATCAATTGAGGCTTTGAGGTCGCATTTCCAAAGGCAAATTGGAGAAAGTTGGCTATGACCAGTTTGAGAAGATAACTGAGCCATTGCCGTTGCTACCGTTATTCCTTGAGAAGGTGATGTTTGAAGAGCCCTTCTCACAAAAAGAACCCGTCCAAAGGCTTCAGGATCGGGTTGTAAACCCTGATCCGCGGCCTAACCATGCCCATGTTTTGTGTTACGATAGCCTCTATTCTGGGCGATTTCGGGGGACAAGGTTGGAGAAGTGGCTGTGAACAACGTTTACAGATGTCGTCAGGCTAATGTAAAACATCTTCATCAAAGTCTTTGTCTCATTTGGCTGTATACGCCGTAGATCTAGTACGAGCCATTGGGCCAGGCTGGCTTTGGTTCCCGGGCCTTGGTTACCTGTCACGCAGCCAAGAATGGCAAAGGCTGAGCAGTGCCAACCGGAGCCTCTCAGCCTTATTTTGTACCTAGTGCCAACCGGAGTGCCACAGTGCAAGTGCGTCAGGCTGCGGAAGGTTGGGTTGCATGGATCAAGAGTGGATTCGTGGATGAGCTTTCAATTCTACAGGCGTGTCCAACGTACGTGAAACGACGCTTGCAGCTATGGGTTGGCGATGCCGCCGCGTAGGAGCCCTTGACGAACAAGAGAGAGGAGAGGAGGAGGGAGAGAGAGAGAGAGAGAGAGAGAGAGAGAGAGAGAGAAGGAGCTACCCCAAACTCTGCTGCAGGAGCCAGAATGCATGCAGGAGGAGCGCCCAGTTCTTCCGCGCGACGTCAGTGAAGGTTTTGATTGACCCCAAGGGGTGATTGGGATCAAGACAGAGAACCATGCAGAATTGAAACCGAGATGAGAGAGAAGTCATACCTGGTCACCCCTTGACAGCGCTGAAATGCTGGGAGGGTGGCAAGGTCAATTCCAAAGATGATAATTCACTTGCTGCTGAACGCACGCTCAAGCTTCGTTGCAGTCACTTTGGACATCAAGTGTGCAATCCTCATGGCAGAACAGCCATGTTGAGGAGAAACCTGCGTGAAGATTGAGGAGAAGATGTACAGGCGGCTGAGATGTCTGCCACAGGACACAAAACTGCCGCGTCCCAATCACTCCACACGTTTACAGGAGCGCCGTGTACTTACCGCTGCGTGTGGGCGATGTCTGCGTGGTTGGGAAAGACGGTTTAAAGTTTTTGTAACGACCTCGCAGAGTTTGTGGAATTCCTGAAGGAGAAGAAACAGTGGAACATAGGAGTGAAGGGGCCCTTCAGCTCCGGGGACAAGTTTTCTTCTCGAAAGGGTGGCTGAAACTGGCAAACGGGCACCGCAACATTAGATGTGACAGGAGGCAGTACTATGGTCCGGTTTGGAGAGAGAGAGAGAGAGCTGGATTGGTTTTGGTTGGGAGGAGACCATTGACTTTGGAGTGAGGAAGCGAAGGAAGGAGTTTAACAGAAAGGATGGATCCAAGGCAGGAGGAAAGAGTTGAGGATGGGGCCTGAGCATTTGGTGGAAGCGCTAACAGACTCCGACTATTCTGGTGACCGATGAAAGAAAGAGCGCCGCTTGTTTGCAGGTCTTCATGCGTGGAGAGACTGAATGAGTTGGTTGCGAGTGTTGCGGATTGCTCGTCAAGCATCTACTGAAAGTGAAAGCTGCGCCGTGAAAGTCAGGCGTGTCAGATCTGGGTGAGACGCCGTGATGCGTCCCTGCTTGGGGCGCAACAGAAGGAGAGGGACAGAACGTTCACCGTAGCCGCAACAGCGTCAGGATTCATTTGCGCAGAGATTTGCGCCAAGAGTCTTGCCAGGAAGAGATGTTTGGCTAGCTCTACGTGATGAAGGTAGTGAACGCCTGTGGCCGTGATGAATGTCAAGCAAGGTCTTGAGCGCACCAGATGCTGAAACGTGGAAAAGATATCTGCTGCCTGCTGCTGATGGCATGGGCCAGTGGTAACAGAAGAGAGCGACAAGAGTGAAGGCGCGAGTTTGGTCCGGTCCTGTGTGCAGTGTTCGGGCCGTGAGCATTTTGCGGTGGCATCAGATCTTTACGATGGGGGATCTCCAGGCTTTGCGGCGCGGTGCAACACTTCACGCAGAACGCCAGGATGTCGAGGAGAACCAGAATGAAAAGGTGTGATCAACAGGGTCAGGCCATAGAATGGTTGGACTCACAACTGTATGAAGAACACATGGAAGAAATGCAGGAGCGTTTGAACGAGATGCTGGAAGAAATGCTGTGAGCCGAAGAAAAATTCGAGGCCCTTGATTGAAGACAACTTGGGTCACGCTCAGGCTCGACAGCAAAGAGACGAGAAACTGAACATGTTTACAGAGGCTCAAGACTGGTTGGGCAGGGCAGAAAATTGCTGAGCCTTGGTATGGAAATGGGCATGTGGTTCACTGGGATGAGTGTCGCGCCCTGATGTTTTGTTGGAAGACATCTCTTTCTGACGTGGACCGCGATTTGGTGGTGGTTTCTTGTTGAAAACCTGTTTCTGTGGTCTTGGATTCGCTCCTTGGGAGCTTTGTTTGCGCGGTCATTGTGGTCTTGAGGTGGCCCACGCCATGAACTAAGTTTCGAGGGAGCGTCTCTACCATCCAAGGTTGACTGGCTTGCTCCCCTTCTTGTTGAAGCCGCGTTGGAGCTGTACTGGCAGTTGCCTGTACTTGTGCGCTCAATTTGTGGGGGGTGTTTCCCCCCAGCGCAGATGATCCACCCCTAGAAGTTGTCTGTGAGCTGATCGACGAAATCGATCTGCGTTCTTCTTCCCCGTACCTCAGCCTCTGGTTGGTGAAGGATATGCGCGATGAACCTGCGGTCCGTGCGCAATTTTCAATGTCTTTGAGCATACTACAGTACATTCATCTTGACATGTTCGTTTGATAACTTTAGACCCAACACCGTATCTGGGAAAGGCGCCCGCGCCGTCTTTCACTTTTCAAACTTGTTTTCAGGTGAAACTTGGCTCTATTCACGTTGTGTCTCTTCAGTTCCTTTTTCGAGGAGGAACGCAGAAGGAAAGAGGAAGAAGAGCTGGAATCTCAGGGCAACCACCGCCGCCACCACCGCCGCCGCCACCACCGCCACACATGAACATTCAAACGCTCAAGTGAGGTTTTGTAAGCCTAAGCCTGTTCCGCTGGAATTATGCTCGTCGCGCGCTGTCCTTCTCCGCGCTTGGGCCAATGGTGGCATCCATTCGGGCTTGGCGCACTTCTTGATTTGGCGCCGTTTGAGAGCTTTCAAAGTACACTTCCGGCTTTCGCGCGGTATTCGAACAGCGTTCTAGTCATCAAAGGTCAAGTGACTCAAGTGCATGGAAACATTCATGTCCATGAAATGCATGGTTTGACCAGGAGGAGCGATACCAACGGGCCAACGGGATTTAACACCCCCGCTCAACCTTGCGCCCAGAGCAAACATTGAAGGTTGGGCGTTCACATGAAAAGGGTAACGGGATGACCATTGGGAAGGCGGCGCGGGCAAGGTTCGATCTTGTCATTGTGGGCCATCATGCCGCAAGTCGACCGGTGGAGCTTCTGACCAAACTGGAGCTCAATCTTGCTGGACCTGGAACTGCAACTTTACCTTTCGATCTTGAGGAAGTCCCCTTCCGCTTCCCATGGTCAAGGATCAGCTTGCGCTCAAGTCTGCAGCCTGATCTCGCAACCCTGCTCCACCATCCGCAACTTTGATCAAATTCAACCCCGATGTCTAAGCAAAGTCGATGGATACAGTGGTTCGTGATTTTGGCTGCGTGGCTGGTCACAGATTGAAACGATAAGAAATTAAGTTCAGTTTTTTTTTTGCGCCCGCAAATCAATTAATGGACTTGTGGCGTGTTCAATTCACGATCATGGTTGTTGGAAAACTGTGCTATGGGTTTAACCGGAGTGCCACACACCACGAGGCTAATGTAGCTGCTCGGCAAGCTTGCGTGGGTGTTCTCCCAACCGACGTAGGCTTTGGCTGAACGCCGCAACGTGGGCTCACACATTTGCATGTTGCTCACCGCGCAATAAACTTGCTTCGCTCTCATCGTCAGGCATCCTCTCCAACAGCAGCCAAGGGCAACACTATACTGACCTGTCCGTCAGCAAGTATAGTCATTTTCAGTCTCGAATCTTTTCAAGAGGTCCCTTCCGTCTCATAGGTCATAGGACGCCTCATCCGACGCACCAACTTTCATCTCGTTCTCTCTGCCCACGTCCATCACCAAGTCATTCATTAGGGCACCAGTGTGAAGTCCACGCCGGAGTCGTCGTCCTCCAGCGCGTCAATGTTCTTGCGACGAAGACGTGGGGGTCCATCGAGGTCCATGCTCTCCAGCAACCCCGTCGACGCGTGAGCTTGCTTGAAGACCACGGTGTTGGCCTCGTTGTCGGTCTGAGCTCCAAGAGACTTAATTCAAGAGCCTCTTGGAAACCAACAGAGGAACTGCGTGCGCTGTGGTTCTTGGACGTCCAGGTTGTGGCGTGTGAGCGCCTCGATTGCCTGCGCGCGCCCACGCAACCAATTCCTTTGGCTCGTGTCCGGAACGATGTGTCCGTTGGGAGGAAAAAAGACGGTCTCTCCAGCCCATAGTCTTGCGACCCTTCTTTTCTCCAACTGGTTGTCCGGATGGTTGTAGTGGTGCCATCCTCTCGCGCTGTTCGGCCGCGAAGAGATTGTCCGGGTATGTTGTCCGCAAGGCTGAGGCAATATCCTTCTCTTCATAGCTTGGCCGCGCTGCAGCCATCGCGACTAAGAACCTCAGCGGCAGATATCCTTTCGCCGCTGAACGGCCATAGCAAACTGCCACGAGTTTCCTCTGCAATGCCCTCTGCCTTCTGAGCGCTCAGGTATGCCCTGCTCTACCTTCGCCATCTTCTGTAGTCTGTGCCGTCAACAGAGAACTGTTTCACGGCCGCTTCCGGCCGTCCATTGTCTGAGCCAGCCGCTGCCAAGCGCTGACGGAAGTGACGTTTGCATTGCGCAGCTTTGCAGAACCGATGACTCTCACTACGTGTAAGGCGCGTCCCTCAAGCCACATGTTTCATCCAAACTCTTGTAGAAAACGGGGATCTTACGCCTTACGCTAGTCTGGATTGGGTGTTATGTGCTCACGAAGCTTTTGAATGGAGACCTCACTGATCTCCGGGATCTTGGAGGTGGCGCCAGAACTTCGGCAAGTCGTGTCAAAGAGTTCGGTGCAAGAAACGCAAACGAACTTGAGAAAAGGTGAGCAAGTGCCTGGCAGACAATCCAGTGATGATTTGGGATGCAAGTTGGGTGTGGAGCTTATCCGTTTGTGTGCATTTGGAGAAGTGGATCAATAAGGCAATTGCTGAATTTGCTGATGTCATGTTCATGTGTTGGCACTCGCCCACATGCGCAGGAGCAACCTGAAATCCAGCGGTGTCATACGGTTGTGTTTGAAGAGTTGCTCAAGAGTTTAGGAAACATGTTGTTGCGTGGTCACGTCTGGTGTTTGGAATTTTTCGAAGCCATGACGTTCTTGGAGAAGTGAATTGGTTCAATCGGTCTGCCAAGAAGCCAAGATGTCCTTGAGTGCTTCATTCCGCCGACGCGCGTACCAGAGTGCAGAGTGAACCCAGAACCTCGAGCGAGAGGAAGTGATTGAGGAGGATGAGAACGACGCGGAAAGGTCTTGGAAACCCAACAAGACAAGTGATCTGAGGACGAGCCTGAGGAGAACACTGCCGATAGGCTGGCAAACGAAGGCAAACCGGTGATGAGACTCTTACAGTGAGTTGTTTTGCTTGCCCTGCTCGCTTTAAGTGAACTGGTGGGCCCAAATCTCAGGGCTCTTTCGACGTGAGTGGTGGATGGTTCCGATGGATGGGATTGAATTATTCAGGAACACCGACAAAGAGCCGAGGTGTCCATCGTGCCATGGGTGACCATGCCTCCGCCATGTACCAATTCAATGGAGACGCGCAAATATCCAGAGCGCTTGGCCCGGTGGGGAAAATGCTTCATCTTCGGGTCCTCCCATACCAGTGCGACATGGGGTCACCCATTATGTGTGAGCAAGGCCGCAGAAGAGAGTGATGTCTCTGCGCTGAATGTGCGCTTGTCTCACAAGCTCTTTGGCCAGAAATGACCGTTCCTCACAAAGTCTGGAGTCACCTGGACCTGTCCAAGCTGAGCTGCGATGGGAAACGCGAGCATCAGCAAGTGGAAGGCGCGACGCGCGGTCAGATCAATCATTACACAGTACACAGGGATACCCACGAAGTCTGGTCAGAAGAATGTGTTTTGTGGTTTTGCAGCAAGTGAACGCCAGGAACACATGTGTTTTGCTGTCAGTCAAACTGACGTGCGACAATATAGGCCAGGTGGAGAAGACAAACGTGTCTCATGTGAATAGTGCCATCAAGAAGCTGCGCATCAACCCGGGTCATGTCCATTGTCACATCGCCGGTCAGTTCTCCTGCAATCGATGGCTCACACTCTGAACCGACCGGCGTCCTATCAAGATCCCTTGGGCATCTGGCATCGAAGAGCCCGGCAAGGAGACTGGTGTCTCAGCAGGTCTCACGGTATTCTGCAACATGGGACCTTGGCCACGCAAATGGTTGAAACCGGCTTCAGTCGATCTTTCCGCAACATGCTCGATCGGTGTTCTTCGATGTTCCAACCCGGATGACTCACCGATCGAATCTCCCAACCTGAAGTGGTTACGTGTTTGGGTAATGTACTGCAAGATCGTGTAATACCTAAAGACTATATAGATCTAATCTGAGCTCTCTGTGATATCAATGAGCCAAACGTGTGCGCGCAAATCAGTTCTCAAGCATGGCAACATCTCCCTCATTCTCCTGACGTTCCTTCCTGCTAGATGGATTTGGTTTGTGTGCCTGCAGTTTTGATGTCCACGCTGAATGTTGACTGATTCCAAGCGGTTGAAATTTGTCCCGTGCACGTCAATGCCCAGCTACCCTGTCCCGGCATCAGCTAGCAACAGGAATTGGCGATTCTCAACACTGAGAGAAAGAGATCTGCCTGAATCAAGTGTCACTTGTTATCAGGCGGGCTAGATCCATCTTTGACCCGTGCATGGTGGAGTTGAATGATTTTCTGATGCACTGGGAACACCTTAGGCTGGGGCCGGCTTCATCGCCAATGTCCAACTCCCTAGTCCTGGTTCGGTTAATGGCTGTCTTGAGATGCTACTGAGTGGCAAGAGCCTGGCTGTTGGCAATGGTGGGCGACGCAGGCCTCAGCGTTGCGCGTGGCTTGGCTCAATGAAGGTCTCGACATTTCAGGTTTTCGAAACCCGTCTCGGATGACATGACACTCGACTCGGGCGATCGATGGAGGCTTGAGAAATTTGGAACCCGGGTTCTTTTGTATATGAGCTCGAAGCCATGGAACATTTAATTTGCAGATCTCATAGTCCATGCTCCTCACGTCCATGATTTGGATGTGGCACTGTTCCATAGCCGAAAGACGCGCGAAGACAACTCAAGCCCCAGACACTCAACAAATTGCGCCGAAGAAGCCTTCACTTTTCTTGACGATCAAACGTAGGACAATGCACTTCCAACGTGCGCTCACTGGTTCACCTGAAGCTGTTCTTCTGAAATAGCCTGGCGAGTCCGATGTCAAGTACGTTCACGCAATATACCATATATGCCGGCACTGATTCGCTTAAAGAACAACAGTCGAATTGCTCCTGAGTCTATATACCAACCAAAGCAATGGGTGACAACTATTCTCTGGCTCACTTCCGATAGAGAGCTCATGGCTCAGTGGCTCGCTTTCGGTTGGTTTTTTGATGCGATCCTTCTTACATTTTCTTATCGTCACTTACTTCCATCTCCCATCGACTTGCCCTCGACAACTGACCGGGTTGACGGCGTGAGAAACATGTCCCGGTCTCATCTGACGTTCCTTGACCGTTGGCGCGTGCATGGCGCCCTTCGCCGTGCCGCTGCCTTTACCGTCCTGATTCTGCAAAGTGGGGAGGCTTACCATTCAAGAGACCAAATCCTCCACTGGGACTCATAATTACCATGGGCGCGCAAGCAACATACGCCTCACGATCATCCGGTGCATTGAGAACTGTCCACTGACATTGATTCCGGGGCGCGAAGAACTGGTACAAGTCTGACGTAGCTTGCGAATTGATGGAGCATTGAGTGAACGGTTCGCCGTCTGATTTCTGCGAAGCAACTAATTCCGTCCTGCTTTCGATTGAGAACTCGAAGCCGCAACACCTGTGAACCTCGGCTCTCTTCATAGTTCTTAATCACAAACCATGCCTTTGATGCTTTTCGAAGCTTTTGGGTAGACAACAAGTGAACGGATCTGGTAAATTTGTTTTGATGACAAACGGTCCCATACGAGTTTGTCTTGGCCAGATCCGGGAAAGAGTTTGAGTCCATAAGGCAAGGTTGGAAATCTGTGGGTTTGACGCGTGTGAAACATGGGAGCGCTTGCTGGGACTGTTGGGTTTGGACGATTTTGTGAAGTGCAGGAGCTCAAGCCATCAAAGTCTGAGACAACACTTGGGTCTCAACTGGCGTTCAACGGAGCATCATGTAGATCTCGAGTTTGTGATCGACCCCTGAACCTTTCTCGGCCAGAGCGTTCGCCATCGCTGAAAGAAATGCGGAACCCTGGACTAGGTCTGATGCCCTTTCAGGGCTTCGCTGCCGTATGAGACGTCGGGCATTCAAGTGAGCGCGACATGAAGAGGAAAGTGTATTGTAAACCTCAACCTCTTCTGCCCCTACCCAGTCCGAACTTGGTACACTTCTCGGTCGTGGCGCTGTGCGATCGAGGGTGCACTTCTCCATCTCGGGCCATCTCAGGCTTTTCAAAGAACACTGACTTTTGGACTTTGCGCAGTCCGATTGGGATTAGCTGCGCAACTAAAATCGCACCGAGACATTGAGCTGTATGAACAGCATTCTAGTCATGAAAGGTCAACTGCATGGAGGCGCCCATGTGTATGAATGAATGGTTGATGGATAAACGATACACACCCCCACCAGCAGCGACAACAACAAACAAGATAAGCGCTGAAGAGCTCTCCAAGAACCAAGCGAGATTGCGACTCCGAAAAAACAAAGAATTTCGATTCTTGGTCAGACGCGTAGTCCAGTTCTGGAGGAAAGAAGAGGAGGAGTTAGAGAAAGAATGTGAAAAGTGGCGCCGGTCCTGGCCATCAACGTCGGTCTTGTGTGTTGCGCTACAGTGTTTGAGCATCTCAGACACACCAATACTATTTGCCGTTTTGTTCAAATTGTTTCGCGCGTCGCTTTTGGCAAATGACGAATTGCTTCGTGTTTTTTTAGGTGCAGCATTGTGTGCACCTTGTCAAGACGGCCAAAGGGCCGAAAGGAACCGAAACGCAATGGAAAACACAGAATGCAATTTGTCATTTTACTTTGTAGGGGGAGGTGAGGTAGCTAACAGGAACTAGGTACATAAGGTAGCTACTAGCATGAGTAGCTACTGGCTACTGGACGCAGCACACTTCACGCACTATTCTGTGGTTCCCAGTTCTTTTTGGGAAACTTTTGCCCGTTCCTTCTTTTGTTTGTTTGGCTTGATGAATTTTGTTCATTGGTTTTGGCGCCGAAGATATTTGGTTGTGTCTTTGAGAGAGGCCGACACAAAGAGAACCTCAGAGTGAGTTCACAGTTCTAGCCTAGGCAAGATCCTAATTGTGGCAGTGACCTCAGATGAACACAGTTTTCGCTTTCCTTCTTGCATTCGGGTTCAATTGCATTTTTCTTGTGTTTCTGGCCCACAGGTCCCAATTCTCGTGACATATGTGCTTATGCCGCTGCGGGAGCTTGTCCTAAGACCTGACATGGCCATAGATATGACATTCGGCTGCACCAGGTCTTTCAACATCCTTATACGCATTTCAGGCTTGAATTGACGCATGAAACATCTCTGAGCGGAACAGGCGTTTCATTTCTCTCTATCGCGAAAGCCAGCCGATAGGCTAGGCTGAAGTTGGGTTGGGCGAACGAAGTGGGAAAAGGGGGTGTGGGGGGTAGTTGCGCACGGGCAAATTTCGGAGGGCAAACCCAGAGCCTGGTGGTGGAGAGCGAAAAAATATAAAAGGCAGGTCCGCTTGGGATTGAACATTGATGGTTTTTGGGGTGTTGTGATGCAAGTGATATAATTGACGGCGAATAGTGCATCATCAGCATCATGAGGGGCTCAGGAGGCAATGTAAACCGTCTTCTACCAGGGGTGGAAGTTCATGTCGGCGATAGGAAAGAGGGGGCCGCGGGACGAGAAAAGCGGTTGGAACTTTTGAGGACCCGAGATGTGCGTCTGGTGGCCATTGAAAGAGTGTTGACCATGCGTGAAAGGGAGGCGTGTCTCTGAAGACATTGTGTGATCTGTGAGGGCAAGGGAACAGAATGCTGTGGGGACGGTGGAAGACAGGCGTAGCGGCGTAGCGGAGGAGGATGGGTAGGAAAAGAAGAGGGTTTGCAAGAAATCTGGGCGTTGCTTGATTGAGGGTGCAGGACACGAATAACAAACAGCGGGCAAGCGCCCCTGAGTTCCTTAGGGGTGCTCTTTTTCAGCTTCAAAGCGCCCGTGAACCGAGCGAAAAAAGGGCGCCCCCCTAACCCATGCATTCGCTTTCTGTTCCCAACATTTCCTCGGTCCACTCTTAGCAGCGCACCGACTTTATGAGCCGATCTGCAACACAAGACAAAGGTGCCTTTTTTATCTTCGCAACGCCCTTTGAGCAGCAAGAGCAAGGGGCACCCCACTCCCCCACCTTACTACGACTGTCCACCTCTGCATTTTATTCTCCATTCGACTTCACCCCCCATTGCCATGTTGATGTCTTCTTACAGAGGCTGGCTTTCGTCCCCTCCCTTCTCAGGTGTCTCTATATATTTGGACTTCGTCCGAAGAGCCGTGGGTCTAACTAAAGGTGGCTTCCCAAAACGAGACGTGGCTGCTTGCGGCCTGCGTTTTGCCTATTCTGTTGCCTTTCAAACAGAGATATCTTTTCGTTCGGAATTCAGCCAAGTGCAAAACAGCAAAGGCCCTTGTCAGATCCAGGTTCTAGGTCCAAAAAGGGCCCAAAGTAATGCTTGAAGGAAGCATCCTGGTTGGCATTGGCTTCCGCCAGAAGACATGCTCTCATTGCTCTCTCTCTCTCTCTCCGATATGGAAGAAGTCATCCAAGCTAGGAAGAATACCCGCTGTTTTGTTTGATCTCTTCATCGGCCTGCTTTCCCAGAATGTTCTTATGTTTATATATTTGTTTGCCAATCTACTGGAACTCCAATCAGACTTCCTTGTAGAACATGCTAGGGACTTGTAACATCTTGATACTTGTTACAACATGGATGCAGCGTTCAAGAGGGTTGAAGACGCAAACGGAGTGTTTGCTTGGATCAAAATCTCGGGGGTGACTTGATTTGACAGGAAACTTCCTGAAGAAACAAGTGGCTGTTCTTACTGAGCGCACGGGGTTTGTTTTGGCTCAACCCAGGCCAAATCTCAGCAACTCAGAAGCATCTCATTCAAATCGTCTGCAGTGAAGTTGGAGGGAATTTCATTCAACAGACACCCAAGGTGGCGTGCGTGCAGTGGGGTGCCCAGTGAGAAAAGAGCAGGCAGAGGATACCGAAAGAGCGCAGCGCTGCAGAGATTAAACCTGAAGATTATTAAAGTAAGAACTAACAGGTGGACTTGCGTCCGTCTTTATCCCGACACCTTGAAGCTCTTACTAAAGGCGCCCAAGTCCACCTGCTCTTTGTGGCCTCTTCTGCCTGTAGTCTTTAGTTGAAGGCCGCCAGAAGACCTCAGATCCTTGTAGACGTTTGTAGATCGTTGTAGATCCTTTGGACTTCACTGCCCTTTCAACCAACAAGTGCGCGTAGCGCGCTGCAAAGCCGATATGCGTATGCTACGTATACTGCGCCTCCCTTTTTCCCCACCTGCTAGGTGAGGGTCTTAAATTGCAATGAACGTGCTACTCCTTTGCCAGACAAAAGGCCGCAAAGGATGTCTAAATATAATCCAGAAAGAATGCCAGGAAAGATGTCAGAAGATATTCAGTTTGGACGTCAGAAGCGTGCCAGCTAGAACGCCAGAAGATGTGGAAAGGTTCTCGGAAGTTATGCCAGGCAGCGTGCCAAACAGAATGCCGCAAGACATGCGAGACAGAATGCCGGAAAAGACGTCAGAATTTCGCCACAAGATAAGCTCGATAGGCTGCCGGAAAGGGTGTGAAAATATATTCACGTAGAATGATGCCACAAAGCACGCCGGCAAGGATGTCAGAAGGTTTGCCATGTAGAATTTCGGTACATTTGCCATATAGCATGCCAAACCATACGTCAGAAGCTTTGTAAGCACATATGTTGGAAAAAGTGGCAGGTTTGATGGCAGAACCCATGTCAGATTTCAGAACATACACAAAATCAAGCCGAAAGTCGGACCATGTGTCACAGCACACGTCACACTTCACGGCAGGACAAATGTCAGAACGCTTGCCAACAAGGACGTCAGAACACAGCCCAGAACAATTCTCCATCTTTATGATAAGTGATGTGTCAGAACGCATACTAGACATGTGACGAACACACGTCAGAAACAAGCGACGCTTGTCAGGATAGTCTGTCAATACATGTGCCCTGCCTTCTTCCAAATCGCCTCTCATGGTGGCGACCGCTCGCGAAGGATATCACTTTCGGAAACCAAACGACGCCTCAAGTTGACCGCTTTTGAAATGTAATTTTTCAGGTTGTTACAGGTGGCTGCTCAGGCTGGTCTTCAAAACCACAGCAGTTTGCAAATTTTGCAACTTTACATGTTTGCTTTCCCCTGCTTGGAGCCGAGGATTAGGGCTGCACACAGCTCTTGCAATGGCGCGGCTTGAGACTTAGAAGGCTTTCCGCGCGAATTGATTTTGAAGTCTTTCGACGCGCTAGAGGACGGCCGTTTCTGAAAGAATTTCCGTTCTATGTTTTGTTTTTCTTTCTCCCGAATGTGCAGTGAAGGGTTCCCGTATATAATCTGGAGTCTGGGGCTGGACTTGTGTTCGCCTCGGGGTCTTGTCACAATCCTTCACACTCCTATTCGCCTGAGGCTTGCGTTGGAAAACGCAAGGTCCAAGGGATGACTTCCAAGTCCTACTAACTGCTTTGGGCTACCGAGACCTTGGCTCCTGCCACGGCTCTTCAGCCTGTGCCGTTTTTGCTCGAAATTTGTGTGTGCCTGGAGCTATCCCTTGAACTAGGCCTAACGCAAGCTGTGGTAGGAGGCGCAAGACTTCTCTGCCATATGACGGTCAAGTAGCCTGGGGCCTATTCTTTCAGAAGCCCAGCGGAACGCTCTGCCCGTTGGCTCGCGGATCTGTAGCGATGCGCTATAGACCCTGTTGCGAAGCATCGTGTTGCAAAGTCTTGTTGACAAATTCTTTTTCCCTGTCGGAATGCAAAGGAAGCGCAACTAATCCTTGATGCTCTGCTTGTATTTGCGCAACGATGCTTGCTACCGCACCGAATTTTTCTGTTTGACCATTCGTGTACAACCAACTGCTGCTGCTGTCTGCGGGCCTGTTAGTCCTCCTCCCATGTCCTCCAGTTGTCCTGCTGTTGTCCTCTGGCTGCGCTGGCCAACCCTGTGTACGTGAGGCAGTGGAAAGACGACCAGCAAGCAACCCCCCTTGTCCTCCTCTTTCTTGCCGGGTTCTCTGCTTGTCTGCTAGGCTTGTCTGCTAGGAAAAACCGTTGGCCAGTGTCAGGCCGCCCTGTCTGGATGTCCTCCTCTTCGGAGACTATGGCGCCTGCGTGATTTTACGGGTTGCGCGTTTTGAATTTCAAGATATTCGCCACGTCGAAGTACTGTGAATGACATCAATGCCGTGGTCACTCTCGAACAAGGAGCCCGCGCGGCCTCTCAGCATCTCCAAAAAGCAGCGCGTGGAGATGCAGTTGCCAGGCTGCTCTTTGCGAAGCTGCCCAGAGAATGTACCGAGGCAGCAACGCCTTCAATCTCCAGCCCAAACAGTATTTTGCCAGGGAGAAAGACCACTTCATGAAGGAGCCAGGGAAGCGCGCGCAAGCGCGTCAGGGGAGCAGCGGGCATTTGATGACCTACACCAAGGACATCGAGCTCAAGTGCAAGGGGAATAGCGGCGCGCAAAGGTTGCAAACTCAGGGTGTCATGCCTCTGGACCGGCGCCCTTCAAGCTATGGAGGAAGGGGGAGCAACCTCTTTTGCGCCGCGCGTGTGCCCTCGTCATGAACTTCAAGAAGAAGGAGATTGTTGGACGCCGTCCAGCGGGTTGCTCAAACGTTGTGGTCGGGATGCTGTCGAAACCGACTTCTGATGAAGCTACATGGAAAAGACAGACAGGCAGACGGACAGACAGCCAGCCAGCCAGCCAGCCAGCCAGTCCCAGCCAGCCAGCCCAGGCAGACAGACAGACAGACAGACGTGCACGTATGCTGTTGTCACCAATGGAGAGCAACAAGTGCGCGAGGATTCGGCCTTCCACATGCGCACTGAAGCGAGACGGCGCTATTTACAGCTTGTAGATATGCTGGCCCTGGCTGGCCCACGTGATTTTTTTTTTTTTTTTTGGCGTGCTGCACGTCTGCGTCAGTGTCTCAGGTCTGGCGCCTCAGTGGTGCTGGGTTGCCGCTCCGAGGGGAGCAGTGCGGCGGCCGTGGCGCGGCTTGGAGCAGAAAGTGGAAGATGTGAAAAGACTTGTTCACGTATACAATACATCGCCCAGTTTAATCGGCTGATTGCCAAAGACAGGAAGATGATGCCCCGCCTGACGGGATTGAGGCAGTCTGATGTTAACTGGACCGCTCCTGTGCTGCAATGACGAGCGCAACAAGAGACAATAAACCATGACACTGACATGGCGCAATGACAACGCCAAACACATGTAGGCAGAGGCAATGCGACAACAGGCAAAAATGAAAAACAATTAACACAGACAACAAACATTGACACGCGTAATGGCAACACCAAACATAGCCGCAACTCACCACACTTGACCCTACACAAGGGCAAATGGATAAACAAATGGCAAACAATTACACAAACAATGGCAGCGCGAAACATATACATCCACGACATGTAGTAAGTGACAACGCACCAAGACAAACGCGAGTGACAACACCAAAACCAAACGTAGCCCTGCGCAACACACTGTGGGCAAAGGATTCCTCGCCCACCCGACCCAGTCGTCCTGCCAGCGGGCAAGGTAACTCGAACTAATTAATGGCTAAACAAACTCGCAACAAAAGGACGGGGGGGAACTGACAACTGTTGATGACCGGCGATCCATGATGAATTGTTGTACATGTAGCAAACCACGGTGCACTAATATTATGCATGTTATTTTCCAGAGTTTAGACTGTTATCGTTGAATTTGTTTTCGAAACATTGGCGGCTTTGATCTATGAAACAGAGTTTGTTCCTTCAGCTTTGAATATGCCAAGTACAAGTCAGTCTCCTCCTTCTCTTTGTTTTGACCAGAATTGCGACCTTTCAGAGGTTGGAAACTTTGAAGAAGGCCAGCAAAGCCAAAGCGCAGCCGGCGGTTTCTCGTTTGCAAGCCTGTGAATGGACACATGATGCTGCAAGTAACAAGCAAGACACAAGATGTTGGGCTTAGGTGACTGCAAGCAGTATCTACATTATCTTCTGCACATGTGTATTTCCATGTTTTTTTCCACCAAATCCCTTTTTTCTCTCGACGGCGCGTTTACGTGCCTCAAGATGTTTGCTCCACCTTCTGTAGTTTGGATTTTTGAGAGTGCACGCTACATAAAACGCACTGAGTAATTCCTAACTAGACCCAATAGACCGAGTACCTGCGGTACTTGAACAAATATTTTTCCTAAATCACAGCTAAAAACTGCAAAAAATTAACGAAACAGAAACAAACGCCTTACTAGTAGTAACAGGTGCCTTACTAGTAGTAACAAGAAGCTATTAGGAACAAGTGCCACGCTAGTAGTAACACAATTATTCTTCGACAAACTTGTAGTTTGTCACGACGGTGACCCGGGAGATCGGCCCTGGGCTGCCTTCGACACGTTCCTGTGACGGGCAATTTTAAGAATTTCGTCTTGGTTTGTGGTACTTGAATGCTTAAACGGCTTGTTCTTTCCAAGCTTCTATTTTAAGTTTTTGAAGTTTTCCCCAAACCAGTTGCTCCCCAAAAAGGGGTTGCTGTACGATTAAAGTAAGTGAGGGTTTGTGGCCAGGGTTCACGTTCTTCGTTGCCCTCATGGTTGTTGCGTCATTTTGTGTGGTAGGTAGGTGCAGTACTTTGGTCGGTCGCGGTCGGCCAGTTTCGCGACGCTCTGCTTGTGGTGCTGTGCACATATTCGGACCACGGAATCTGTGTTTGGGTGATCGCAGAAGGCACTTGTTACTAGTAGCGATGCACTTGTTTCTAATAGCTTCTTGTTACTACTAGTAAGGCACCTGTTCCTAGTAGCGTGGCACTTGTTACTAGTAGCGATGCACCTGCTTTTCACGAGGTCGCAGAAGTTTTAGAGATGTGGCGCAAAGTTTTGACACTCAGTTTGGGGCACCATCGTGGACCTTGAGATTTCGTGCTGTACAAAATGTGCTCTTTTTTGTGACGTGTTTTTTTTGCGGCTCGGTTCAAAGCTCGGCTCAAAATGCACATCCTAAAAATGCAGTCTTTCAGTCGGAATTTGGCAAATGATCAAAGACTGAATGGCAATCTGGACTTGTCGATTGGCCTCTTTGAGTCGGCTTGAGATTGCCATAGTAAAGCGAGAAGTAACTTTGGGTAACAAACAAGCTAGGTGATGCCGTAACGATCGGGTCTCAATGCACAGGCTTCCGTGTGAATGCCATACGAAAAGAGTTTTGCAATCAACAACAAACACATAACATGTCCGCTTTCCCTGCCAGCTACCCAACCCCAGCAATGTGCACCCCAAAATACAGCTGTGCACGAGTGTCTGTTCAGAGCGAGCGCGCGCCAATCATTTTTTGTGGGGCGGTGACGCAACTCGACTGAGTGGTTTGGACCGTTTTTCGCATGTTTTCGGCACTTGTTCCTAGTAGCGAACCTTGTTACTACTAGTAAGGCACTTGTTACTACTAGCGATGCACTTGTTCCTAGTAGCGAACCTTGTTACTACTAGTAAGGCACTTGTTACTACTAGCGATGCACTTGCTTCTGCTAGGTTTGGTCTTTAGAAATGGACTCTTTGGAGTCGGTCCGTTTGTTCGCAGAGAGCCTTGGATGAAGTGGTCGAAGAACTGCCTTGGAACGTCTCGCTGCAACCCTCGCTGTCACTTCCAGGAGATATGTTGAGAGCATTGGAACGTCTCGATGCCCAGAATCCAGAGACACATCAACATTGTGTTCTTTTAACGTTAATTGCTCTTGTTCGAAAAATAGCTTTTGTTTGTTCAGAGGCTCCACATTTTGGTGAACAACGCCGGAACCACAGAAGCTTGCAGCCTTACCCGCGATGGTTTTGAGTCTGCCTTCCAGGCACAATGAAAGCGCCCATTGAACTTTTCAATCGTGAGATGTTAACCGTGACTGCTAAGTTTCCCTAAAAATCTAGGAGCCAAATCATTATCGCGAGCTATCCTGCGTCCTAAGTAGTAGTTACTTGAGCTACTAGCCTAGCTCCTCTCCCTTACTTAATTAAGTAGGCGCCTACTTAATTAAGGGAGGAGGGGGAGCGGGCTTTTTGCTGTTCCCGTTCTGGAGGTGAACTATTTGAGCCACTTTTTGCTGACCAATATCCTACTCCCCGTCCTTCGCGCAAGCAGCCCTTCCCGGATCATCCACATTGCTTGTCAAGAAGGACGGCATCGAACTCTCAGTCACTTCAGAACGGTGTTTGAGACACGCTCTTTTTCGTGTCTTGTTCTTTTCTTCTCTTTTATGGGGGCCGGAGGGGCAGGCTTGTTCTCAAGGTAGCTTCTGGTGTGCAGAACTGCTGTCAACTCTGTTTACCTTTCCTGTTATCGTTATCGTCATCGTCGTCGTCGTCCTCCTCCTCATCACCATCACCATCACCATCATCATCATCATCGTCATCATCGAACATCGGCAGCATCACCATCATCATTCAGCGCATGTTGTGTTTACCGGGACAAGGGTGGCTTCTTGATCCGGTCAAAACGTTGAACATGATAGAACAATGATTTGGTCCGGTGGTTTGCGATTTTGCTTGTGGGTCCTTGGGTTTGGATTGTCGATGGTTTCACGTTGGGGTGTCGGGTCTGCAGTTGGCGTCCAAAAGCGATGCTGTGACTGAGAAAACGTCGAGTCCGCGACCACCGCGTTGAATCCGCGACCAGACCCCTGCCCGAATCAGCGACCAAAGTGCCCGGATCAGCGACCGGCGGCCGGGTAGTTCCCGGATCAGCGACAAGTTAGGGCGAATCAGCGGCCAGTCTCACGGTTAGTGGTATTTGGTAGCTGCATTTGTTAACGAAGATTAACTACGTATTGCGGCTGCCAGGAAAGCTGCGCGTGAATGTCGGCATGGTAGTTCCCATGCACCCATCAAAACAGCCTGCTCGGAAACCAATGAATTTTTTTAGTGCTTTGAACTTGTTATGGGTTCTTGCATCCGAGTTGGTTAGGCGTGAGTTTTCTCACGGCGACCGGTGGTTTTTTCAGTTTACTTCTCTTCACAGATGCTCGCGATGTTAGTCTTCGCCGTCCGTCCTACAGCATCCAAAACGGATGATATGAGTAGGCGACGCCCAGGAAGGTTGAAGATAGATGCACGGGTGAAAGGTTGAGGATTGTTGCATACACGTTTTAACATGGCGGCTAAGAAAGAACTCAGGCGTGGTCTCTTGTTTGGGACTACTCCTCCTGCAGGCGATGAGTCACATCTTGAATTGTCACCTAGCAAAGTGCCCTTGTCACACCTGTTCGGGGCTGCAAGAACTCATCAGGGCAGTTGTTGTGTGCCTCAGTAAAGTGCCCTTTTCACAGTTGTTCGAAGCCTCAGACACCCTTCAAAAAGGCAGTTGTTAGGTGACCCGGAAAACGAGAGCGTCACTGTCCTTTTGTTCACCCCTGTTCGAAGGTTCGAAGCGTCAATATGATGATACTAGAGGGCGCGCGCAGCTTCTCCTAGCTAATTGCCTTTTCACACCTGTTCGAAGCTTCAATAAAACCTCATTAGGGCCGTTTTTATGCGCCCCAGGAAAAGTTCCCTTTTATATAAACAGCTTTCAAAGGGGCGTTAACGATAGGTGACCCACAAAACGAAGCGTCCTTTTGTTCACCCGTCTTCGAAGCGTCGACAAGATGATACTAGAAGGCGCGCGCAGGGAAGGCGGCCCAGCAAGAGGTTTCAAAGCTCAAAAGGGTGACCGTCCTTTTCACATCCTTACAAGAATTCTAAAAAAAGTCCAGGACACAGAGAATTCCAACCCACAAACTACCCTTCTCACACCTTTTCCAATGCGCCAACAACGCATCCAAGGAGGGAGAAGACAGAGTCGGGAAACCTACGGCAGAGTCAGGAAACTGTGAGTCGTGAAACCTGAAAACCAGAGTCAACAAACCTGAACGACAGAGCCAAGAACCTGGAAACTGATCGAGGAGACAACAACAACAAGAAAGTGTAAAGGAGAAGAGTGTCGAAGGCGAGGGAAATCTCCGCATTTTGAAAGGCTGCGTTCTATCAATGGCGCAAAAGGGCAGAAAGAAAGTGATTGTGGCAGGGCCAAAGAAATTTGCAGACATCTTGGACGGGTTCAAGAGGTTGAGAAGATGTTTCTACATCTCTTTTCCGTGTATGGCGCGATGATTTAAGTCTCTCTTTAGGTTATGTTTGTTTTCGTTTTGGCTTGACTTCTTTAGGGTCTGTCTGGGCTTGGTTTCGGGCTTGACTTCTTTGGGGTTGACTTGGGCTTGGTTGAGGTTTTAGTTGTTCAGGGTTTGTTTGGGCTTGTTCTAGAGTTTCATTTCTTTAGGGTTTGTTTGGATTTGGTTTGGGGCTTGACTTCTTTAGGGTTTGTTTGGGCAGGGCTTAGCTCCTTGGGGTTTGTTTGGGCTTGGTTTAGGGCTTGACTTCTTACAGGTTTGTTCAGCTTGCTTCAGGGTTTGACTTCTTTTGGGTTTGTTTGGGCTTGTCTCAGGGCTTGACTTTTTTAGGGGTTGCTTGAGGGCTTGACTTCTTTAGGGCTTGTTTGGGTTTGGTTCGGTTTTTCCCCACATCACTACGTGGGGTTTTAGTTTTTCGCTCTGTGCCCGCCGCTCCGCAACCTCCACCCGCCTCCGCCGCCGTCGTCCTCTTACACCACCCATCTTACACTACCCAACTTACACCGCTCATCTTACACCACTCATCTCACACCACTCATCTCACACCACTCATCTCACACCACCCATCCTACACCACCCATCTTACACCA